TATTGGATCAGGATTCTGTCTGAACACAGCCTTAAACTCTGTCCGTTTATTTTTGTCTTGTTTTTGTTTTTGTTCTTATTCTGGTACCAGGAATCAAAGCCCTGACCTTGCGCTTTCCAGACAGGCACTCTGCCACTGAGCTAAGTTCCCAGCCCCTAAACTCTGTCCATTCGAGCTTACTTTGCACCACTGTAACCCAGAGGGCTTAACAAACCATCTCATAGTCATAGCCTTCCTTGATTTGATGTTTGACCCTTGGTCAATCTCTGAGATTTATGCAAGTTGGAGAAGCTGAAAAAAGACAAGTTTTACGTTCTTGACTTCTCTATGTTACCTTGAACTTCTGCTTGCAAACTGGTAGACTAAAAAACAACAAAAACACCTCAATTGACTTACAGTTAAATACCACCAGGTGGCGCTTTCTACATTTTGCCTGGAGATAATCTAATCCAAAACCAAGCACTTATTAGATACATTTTGTTTTCCAAGAAATCACAGGCAGCTGTTTTATCAGTTGTTTCATAAACGCTTATGTAGTTTCTTCACCATTAGCAACATTTACTAAAACTTTTCCCAACCCCTTGCTGCCCCAAATCCGAAATAGCACGTATTTTGTTTTTGTTGTGTTGCTGGTTATCTATTTGTGAAATAACAGCACAAACCACAAATTTATTTTTGTTTTTTTTGGTTTTTTTGTTTTTGTTTTTCTCTGGTACCGGGAACCGAACTCACGACCTTGCGCTTGCCAGGCAGGCGCTTTTGCCACTGGGCTAAATCCCCAGCCCCTGTATTCTCAATATTGTCAATTTTCCCCTTCTCAGAAACTTGAAAATTGTAATTGTTTTATACATACAAGATTTCACAATTGTTGGTTACTTCAACAAAGATTTGTATTTTTATGGAATCACAACAGAAAGCTCGTGAGGTTTTAAGTAACATCTAGAATGCTTACCTGTATTTGGAAATGAATCCTCAGATGTTAACAAACCTAAATGTGATGCCTTAGTTTTAAGATTGGGATCATGAATTCTCGGTAGATATAATAGGAAATTACGCAGTTACATAATTTTATGCACAATGTCATGGGAAGCCACAAATGATGCTGAAATAATTATATTTTGCCACCTAAAACCAAGTAACTGTATTTGGCTGAACAGCAACTAGCGCTGAAGATGGGTAAATATATACACATACTGGGAATGTGTGCCTCCAAAATTATTTTCACTGTTAGTGTTGCAGCAATGAAGTGAAGATACTAAACTAGAACATTATAGTGTAGCTAAACCTAAAATGAAATATTCTATTAACATCTCAAATTTTTATTTGGTATATATCCATGTATATTTGGTTTAAAGCAACTGGATGCTAAATTTTATTACAGCCCAAGTTTGCAATGAGACAAAATTACTATTAAACAATTATAACCCTTTTTAAGGGTTTTTTGTTTTTTGTCTTTTTACTTTCTATTTTCATTTTTGGTACCAGGAATTAAACTCAGGGCCTTGTGCCTGCTAGGTAGGGGCTACACTGCTGAGCTACATCCCTGGCCCAACCACTTTTTAAAAATTAAGCAATTTCATCTGGGTGTGGTGGTACATGTCTGTAATCACAGCACTAGGGGTGGTGAAGGAGGACTGAAATAACTTAAGGCCAGCCTGGGCTACACAGTGAGTTCAAGGCCTGCCTGAACTACTTAATGAGACCCTGTCTCAAAAAGAAAAACATCTCTGAGATCCAAAGAATTTAAAAAAAAAAAAGATACACTTCTCATTCCCAAGATAAGCATGTAGGAAATATCTTTAAAAATTAGAAATAATCTCTGAGCTGCAAGGCACTAAAATATATATATAAAAAGATATACCCCTCCTTCCCAAGGTAAGCATTTGGGAAATACTAGTAATATTCTAATTTAAAGATTAAATAAATAACTAGAATATGATTGTAAATAAGTAACTAGAATATCACTGTTTGGAAACAAGGCAGGTATTTATTGTATCTGGTGGCCAACCATGTTCGAGCATGTTAAATTTTTACAGGTAATCAAAAGTAACTGCAATAGAATGTTCACACTTCAAACATACAATAAATGGCAAGACTCAACCAGTTCAAAACGGAGAGAGGATAAAAATGTGTGTGGGTGTGGGGGAGAATTAATATTGCAAAAAGGAAGCAAAACAATGAGACTGTAAAAATAAATACAAATAGATTGGTACTTTGGCACTACAGGTACTCTTTGCAGAGTTCTACTACAAAGCACTAGGATCAGTGACGGCAAACCTTTTAGCTTTCAAAGATAATAATCACCCTCTGCGGCATATGTGCCATAGGTCTGCCATCACTGCACTGGATCCTGGAGAAAAACTTTTAGACTCACTGCCGATTTGTCCTAATCCCTGTACAGTCAACACAGGAAAACAACAAAAAGCCCTGAGACAAAAGCAGGAAAAAAGCAGGAAGCACCAGCCAAGAAGCAAGCCTGAAAGGTGGGGAGTGCCTGAAGGCAAACACTGACAGTAACCAGTACTTGACATCTATAAACAAAAGTATAAGAGGCCAGGACCAAAAGCTGAAATCAAGAAACCATGCTAGTCAGCACGCCCAGAGGGGGGCTAACATGATGCCAAGGAGTTTGTATGAACTCAAAGAAGAAGCCAATACAAATTATTATCTGAAGGAAAGCATCCACCAATGTAGGGCCCTTGTTCTTTCTGCAGATTAAACTAAGCCACATACTGAAGGAAATGAGCTATAAACGGTACACAATAACCACAAATTTAAGCTTATAAAGACTTAAAATATTGAGGTTAACAGAAGTGGAATACAAAATGGGGCTTGATTTTCTGCAACACGGTCTCGCTTTGTAGTGCAGGCTTGCCTTGAGCTCACTGTGCAGCTCAGGTTGGGCTCCAACTCACTGTGATTCTCCTGTCTCAGCTTCTCAAGTGCTGGAATTACAGGCATGCATCACCACACCTGACAAGAGGTTTTTTTTTTTTTTTAATGGATTTACATGAGACTGTAGTGAATGAAGAGAAGATTAAATTGGAATCAAATGAAAATATAAAAACCATTGTAAGTGTGCTAAAGAGCAGGTTAAATGTGGCTAAAACACAAACTGGTGAACAGGAAGACAGCTGATGAAATTACTCAAAATGGGGCAAAAAGAAACAAGAGGATGAAAAATGTAAGAAACTGGGAGACATGCAGGTTACAGTATGAAAGTCTACCATTTGTGCAATCAGAGTCCTATAAGAGAGGAAAAGCAGTTTTTTTAAAAGCTAGTGGCAGAGAATTATACAGAACATGAACTGAAAGACATAGGAAACCAGAATGTAACAAATAAACCCACACTTCCAAATATGAGTAAATCTGCCGAGAACCAAAGGAGAAAAAACAATCGTAAAGGCAGAGAGAAATAAAACATAACCCTAAACATTTCATTCTCAAGCAAACACTCATCTAGAGCCATTAGAAGCAAAACTATGATATAATCCCTTGCACTCTTGACAAACTCCTTTTTTAACTATTTCTCTTTTTAACTGGTTCAAACTATTTACTTTTTTACTTATTTTCCCTGAAAACCATTCTGGGTAGCCAAGTTCCTGAAATCCATCACAAGGATGAAAAATATTTTAAATGGATTATTTTTACAAAAAGTTAAAATATTCCTTTTATGCGTTTCACTGCCTTACCAGAACAATGTACATAGAAAATACGACAGTCCTTCATTCAGAGCACTGACTATTTAGACGGTGATTTTTTTTGCACAAGTTAGTTGCTTTTGGTAACCCCAAACTTTTAAAATATCTTAGTAGTTAAGCAATTTTCAAATTATAAGAAATTAAAATTTAGTGAATTATTTTTAAGCTATTCTTTATTCACATTTGTATACTGTATATTTTAATGTTATTTTTATATCTGTAAAAATTATAAACTTTGAGACCATGAGAATTCAAGGTTGAGAGATACTTTGGTATGTTCTAGAAACATCCCCTATGTCAAATAAATTATAACATGTTCTCAACCTTATACTCAGCTTTTAATATAGCTAGTAAAAGGCAAGACAGTAACACAGTAACAGAATGCCTACCGATTTAGTTTATATGACATCTTTGATTTCATGTCTAAATGCAGAATTCAGAGACATTACAGAACATCTAAGACCCCCCGCCCAAGTTCTGAGGCTCAAACGCGGATCCTTGCACATGGCAGTAAGTGCTCTAGGGCTAAGCCACATCCCTAAGCCCACAAAAAGGATCTAATCCATTGCTTTTAGAGCCTACGAACTGGCTAGAAGGCAATGGAATGCTTCCATTACTAGTACTCTTTATAGGCCCATGAGCCTGCATTTCAGATGTCCATCCTTCCCTTACTATACTTGTATGAAGAGTTCCTTCTACTACTATCCTCTACAACAAACTCATTTCCCCCACCCTCAAATCTCCAGTTCACTTATTCAGTACTTTATGAACTGTACATTATATGCTGGGCATTAAGTTCAGAGTATGAAAAAAGCATTAATTGAATATAAATTGTTTCCCTATTTTAAGTCAATTTACTCGAAGGATATGTGCACTTAGCGAAAGAAATGTACACTTTCAATAGGTTCACTAACAATATGATGTCCTACGTGGCTATTTCATAATAGGCTGAATCTGAGACAGTCTGTATTTCCTAGAAAAAGAACTTTGTTCTCTTATTAACAGAAAGATTTGGTGATCCTTATTTTATACACAAGAACACATCTCTTTTCCCCAATTTATAGAAAAGGTACTAGTGTTGACCAAAATAGTCCTTTTATTGAAAAGCAATAAAAATAGCTGTGGGCCAGGAACGGTGGTACACACCTATAATCCCAGCTTTTAGGAGGCTGAGACAAGAGGATCCTGAGTTCAAGGCCAACCTAAGCTACACAGCAAGTTGCAGGCCAGCCTGGACCTACATAGCGAGACAGTCTCAGAAAAAAAAAAAAACCTGTACAAATAAGAGGAAGGTAATACTTTTACATTATTGCTTCTGTTATATATTTATGCTTTGTGCTGAAATTTACTTCTTGTAACCATTCTTGTTTTATCTGGAACATTTTACATTGGATTTCTGTATTATTGAATATTAGTGTTTAATTCAGAAGAGCTTAACAAACTGCTAATCTGAGACCAACGATACTTCCCTGGCTTTTTAGACCTTTTTCTGAACATGCTTATTTATGTACAATGTGGAGATCTCATCCAGCTCTTTTCCACTCAGCCAGCAGTTCTTTTTGCACCTCTTCCGGTAGTTCATAGAAAACCTGAGGATCTACATCAGGTGGGAAACTAATTTTCTCCTCAGCAGAACCCTGCTCTCTACTTTCTATGAGTCCTTGATGAGAGCCTGTTGGTGTTTGTTCATGGCTATCTGTAGTGTGGTTTTTGGAGAAAAGTTGCTCACTCGGCACATTAGGAAATGAATGGAAAACGGGGTTTGTACTAGGAAAATGGAACCCTTGAGATTCTTTAGGTCCCTGACTCATTCTTAGTCCATTATCGATACAATATGAATACTCTTTTGGGCTAGACAGGCAAGAACTACTGCTATTTAAGCCTGATGTTCCTGCCTCGCAGGGAGACACAGCGGATACCTGCTTGCAATTGGACAAATTATCTCTAGGATTTAAGGGAGTATTCTGAATTTGTTTTGTAGAGAAGAAAGATAATACTCCTCTGGAAGTACGCAGTGGACAACTCAACTTTTCATTCGCTTGAAATTTTTCTTTGGATTTCTCAGAAAGGATTTCTTCTTGAATATCTGCTGGAAGCTGCTTAAAGACTTCTTCATCAACATCCTCAGGAAGGGAGTAGTGTGGGGATCCATTAACGTCTTCCTCTCTTGAAAAATTTGTACTATCTGGTGAAGATACTTCTGTCCTCATACTTGCAATTCTCCCCATTGTTAGAAAATCACAGTTTGCTTCTTTGTCTTTGGAAAAGTCTTCCATGTAAGCATCTTTCATTTTCTAGAACACAAAGGTAACAGAAAAATTCAGATATCTGATATTTTTAAATTATCCCTGCTGCTGAAATGAGGCTGTAGCTATTATATGACAAATATTTCAATGCTACTCAGCACCTTCAATCCTTTGTGGCCAGCCCCAAACAACTAGATCAGACCTATCAGGTACACTACCACGTAGATCTTTACTCATTTTTCCAGGAGGAGAGCAAAGTACGGACTTTTGAAACCTGGAAAGGATCTCAATAATCATGTATTTAAAAATCCATTTCTGTAAATAAAAGAACTGTGGCCTAGAAAAAATAAATGGTTCACCTAAAAGTTTGTCTTTTTATAAATACATGCATAGAGTATGAAAGCCTGATTTTCCAAAAATTACTGCTCTAAAGGTATGTTTAATAGAAAGGAAAAGATTATTTCTATAAATGCGATGTTATTCTTCAGATATAATATTTTATGTTTACATAAAATAAAAATTTAAAAACACTTTCAATTCTAATTTATGTGATTTTTCTATAGTTTTTCACTTGAATTTCCTTTCCACGTTTGTTTTTTCTGGTTTTATTTTTTACTAGTACACGGTAATAGCACAGAATGACTCCATTCCTTATGGGGAATTGGTGCATGCACACAGCACATCTTAACTCTTTTTTTCATCCATCCCTTTTCCTCTCTCCCTTCCTCCATCTCTTTTTTGTTTGTTTTTGAGACCAGCCTGTAGTGTAGGCTGGCCCTGAACTCGCTTATGTAGCCCAGGTGGGTGTTAAACTCACTAAGATCCACCCAACGCAGCCTCCCGAATGCTGGTATTACAGGCCTGCGCCACCACTCCCGGCAACTCCTCCTCCGTCTCTTGATCCCTTTCACATCTGAACAAAGTCTATTTCCCTACTTCCTATTATCTTTTATTTCACTTTTTCATATTTTGGATTTCTCATGAGAAACGATGTGGTATTTAAGCTTGTGGATCTGATTTATTTCACTTAACATTCTGGTCTCAAGCTCTATCCATTTTCCTGCAAAGACTCAAATTTATCTTTCTTTATGGTACAGGAAAACTCTACTATGTAGAAATAGCACATTTTCTTTATCTATTCACCTGCTGATGGACACAGTAGCATCCAAATGTATACACCAGCCAATACAGCTCAGTAAACATTACTACAACAGTAACTCCAAAAATATAAAAGGAGTACAAAAGATTCTAGCTATTAGATTTACTGAATACTGTGTTTCAGATATAGAAGGTACTTTCACTTATATTTAATGCTATTCCACTTTTGCTTATATTTATCTCTAATGCCAATGTTCACTACAATCTGTAATTCTCCTTTTTTTGAGACAGGGTCTTGTTATGTAGTACAGATTGGCCTTGAACTCATTTATGTAACCCAGGCTGGCCTCAAAATCATGGTGATCCTCCTGCCTTAGCCTCCCGAGTGCTGGGATTACAGGCATGCACCACCATGCCCAATTTAATTTGCTTCATATGGATTAAATAAAATACTTTAACTTTTAAATAAAAGATAAATACTTTTAAATAAAAAAGAAAATAATTTTCATTTACTAAATAGAATAAAAAAGGTCAAAAAATAAAAGTAATTTGAAGAGAGCATTAATTCATTGTTTTCATAACACTATTCTGTTTTCACTATAAGTTTAAGTGGAGATAAAAATACTACTAAAATTATATTGACTGACTAAAAATATTTAAATTATGAGTTAATCACAAGCATTACTCACTTGTATAAAAATGTTATTTATCTATTTATTTTCTGCTGTACTAGGCAAACCAGAGGGTTGTTTTCATCTATATCCCCAGTTCTTTTTTAATCTGGAGATAAGGTCTCACCAAATTGCTCAGGCCAGCCTTGAACTTGCAAATTTGTGTTCACCCAGCCGCAGTGTTGTAAGTACCTTAGACTATAGGTATGTACTACTGTAAGAGGTGAAAGCAATTTTTTTTTATAGTACCCTACATTTACTAAAGTAGAGGTGCACCTATACAGGTGTTTTAGTCATTTGAAAATGTAACTGGCTTCTGCCTCCCTATTGCCACATTGTTACAACTGTAAAATCAAATCCTATCAATGCTATTGAGAAGTTAATAAAATTTCAAAATTTTAAATATCTTAATTAAAAATTGTGGGACAGATGCCAGTAGTTTATATATAAACTGACAGACAAAAAAAAATTTTATTTCTAATTTCCAAAAACACTATCATATTTATGAGATAACCCGTCACCTTCCTATAGCTAGTTAAGGTAATGTGTTATCACTTCCAAAATAGGGATGCTCCATAACGGTTTTCTCTGATCTGGTGATCCTTGTGTCTTCTTCTTAGATCACTATCGTATTTCCCAGAATATAAGACCTAACTGGAAAATAAGTCCTAGCATGAATTTTTATGGTGCTTGTAATATAAATCCTACCCCCAAAATAAGCCCCATCAGCCAAAAGTAAGCATTTAATACATGCAGTGCAACACATGAGGGACACAATGAATTATAAAATAATATTAATATGTAATTAAATATAAATATTGACATTAATGCTTAAATGATAATAAAAATTATAATTAAGTATCTGTAAATATCCAACCGGGTGCCTTCTACAATAGGTAAACGCTTATGTAAACAGGTAAACACAAAATTTAATTGCCAAATGACCAGAGTACTGACCCACTGCACAAATAATATGTGTACCTGATGCCAAAAGGAACGTGATTGTGTCTAATATGAATCATCATAATTTAATCTGTCATTTGTGGTAATGGACATGCTTAATGCACTCATGTGAAATAACAAGACATTTTCTGAATTTTGGGGCCGGCAATTTTTCACTGCTTTTGTATGGACCATCTTTTATTGCTTGCTTTGTTTTTTTTGAGACAAGAGTCTCAGTAGTAGCTCAGGCTGGCCTTAAACTCACTATGTAGCCCAGGCTGGCCTCAAACTTGTGGTGATCTTCTTGCCTCAGCCTCCTGCGTGCTGCAGTTATGGGCATATGCCACTATACCTAGCTTGCACCTTCATTCCTTACTGTCACCACTTTTGTTGCCACTCTTGTCGCACACATCTTCAGTTAACACTTGATTTATGGAAACTTTGTGAAGCCTCACCTTTCAGAGGTTGACATTTGGGTGAAGAATTCATGGGATAAAATCACTGACAGCTATGTTGCAAACACACTACAAGCAAGCTACATGGATAAGAACTGTTCATTGAAGGATAGCTCTATTGCTGGACATGAGAGATTAGGGCCAATGGTTCTACAGGAGATGGAGTCTCAAGAAAAAAAAATATATATACATATATATACACAAGACAGTTATACAGCTAGTTTCTTAGTTCATTAAAAAGAAAGGTTTGTGCTAACATTGTTTGGATAAGATATCATGACTATACCTTATACTCTGAATAACTACTATGAAGACAACAATACACAGTGTATTAATTATTGTAACTCTCTCACTAACCTGTTTTCAAATTATTTTTATTTTTTCTCTTTAAAATAAAAAAAATTTAGTAAAATAGAAAGAAGCTGCCTCAACATAATAAAGAACATCAGTGAAGGGCCAGAGATATAGCTCAGTGGCATAGTGCCTACCTGGCAAGCACAAGGTCCTGAGATCGATTCCTAGTACCAAAACAACAACAACAACAACAACAAAAAACCCAACAAAAAAACAGACACAATCCAAGATCATCAGTGAAAAACATACAGTTAATATTAGATTTCATGGCAAGAATCTAAATGCTTTTTCCCTAACACTGGGAGCAAGGCCATTTATTCAACAGAGCAATCTTTTGTTAAGTCACTGCCTAATTATTTCACATTTTTATATTTGTATAAAAAACATTGTTTCTTCAATTATAAATAATTTTGTCCTTTGATTTTAAATAGTATATGTCTCAATTCCTGTACTATATGTAAAATAATTTTTTGTATATTTCACTTTGCACCTTGTAAAACTGTTGAACTAAAAAAAAAAGGTATTTAGGCTGGAATTCAGGGTTTGGAAAGCTATCACAACATTCCAGAAGAAGATGACATGATTATATTTGGGTAAATGTAGATTGTTATACATAAATAAATGCAGGTAGACTGTTGTCTATGAAAAATAAGACAGCACCTGAAAATATGTCCTATTGTGTTTTTTAAAGTAAAAATTAATATAAGATCCAGGCATATTTTTGTGGAAATATGATATATATTCAAGGCCATCAACTGTGATAAATACTAGAGAACAAGTAAATCAAGCACACAATAGTACCCCAAAGAACTGATTTACCATTTAACCTCACTAATCCAGTAAGAGTGTACTTACAAAACTGTGCTTGCCAGAGTGTGATGTTGCTGATAACGATGGTGTTAAATAATAATCCATAAGTCCTTTCTTAGCAATATTGAGTGCTTTAAGGTTGCAGAAGCACACACTTAGAAGGGTAAGATGAAATGGCATCTTCACATTTATCATATTCCGAAACAGTTTCATTAGTATATTAACCAATGGGGTCATCACATCACAACTTCCTAAATAAAATGTTTAAGAAGATAGTATCTAAACACATTGTAATATATATATAAGTAATATTAAGAGGTTAAGATACATTTTTACTGCTTAAATTAAGAAATTACTACTCAAGAGGCTAAAACAAGAAGATCGTAAAATCAAGGCCTGGCTGGGCAACTTAGTGAGATCCTATCTCCAACTAAAAAGTAAAAAGAGCTAAGGATATAGCTCCGCAGTCAAATGCCCCTGGGTTGAATCCCCAGTACAAAAAAAGAGAAAAAATTAAAATACACTGGGCATGGTGACACATGCTTGTAATCTGACCAATCAGGAGACTGAGATAGAAGGACCATCCCAAGTTCAAGGCCAGCTTAGACTGTACAGAGCAACACCCTGTCTCAAAAAAAAAAAAAAATTGAAAAAAAAGAACTAAAATCCAAAATATGTATCACTGGGCACATTGACATTATTCGCTAAATTTTCAATATATAATTACCATAATTTTGTTCACTTTGAAGTTTGTACACTGAATCTTAGGTGAATCTTAGAATCTAGGTGCTTCACTGAATGTTTACTTTTATTATCCATTTAAAACATCAAAAAAACAATTTTCTAGTGAAAGTTTCCAACAGAATAAAAATATTTAAATGGGAAAAAAAACCCAAGTTATCATGTATAGGTATAAATTCTCTATGATGAATGTGATAACTATGTATATCTAAAATGTACCAATAAAATCTAATTGAACAAAATACATCCAAAAATTGAAATGCTCGCTTACTCCACATGAACACTCCTTTTTGGAGTAGATTTCTAATTGAAAGTTTGCTCTTTACAAATACAATCTGTCAACTAATTCCTTAGAAAACTAGTCCATACCTGTCCCCAACTTTTGAATTACATGGGCTGGAATAGGGCACTGCCGACTCTCACGACTATAGTACTTGGATGAAGACCGACGGATTGCTAATCTTACTGTATGGGGCTTCCTTCCATCTTGGCATACTCTTAAAAAAAGGGAAAATAAGAAATTATAAAAAGTATTAAGGATTTTTAAAATGGCGTAACACTGCATTTGTTCAACAGTGTCAGCTGCATAACATGCAGTAGATAACTAAATACTAAGCAATAAAAGTTCCAAAATATCTAAATAAATATCTCAAAAGTCCACACATTAAAGCTCAGAAATTTTAAACGTAAGGCTTACAGGCCTCACTCAGAACTGGGTACTGTCAAAATTAGAAAAGGAGTAAGACATAACAAGCTGTTTTATAATCCAAATCTACAATGTAAGCAACATATTAAAGTCAGCAGGACATCTGGCAGAAGCAAGTAAACCAAAACTTACAAAAGGAAAGTTTTTATAAATTTGTTTCAGGAAATGAGGTTACAGAATAAAAACTTTTATTTGCTTCACAAAACAAAATTACTTTTACAAAAATAAAAGGCATTCCCCAAACAGATCTCAGGGAACCAGTAATATCACCATAAGATGATATTATATTAGAGCAATTATTATGTAGATCAACTACCTACTATATTTAGGGCAAATACAGGCACATACATCTTAAAAGAATTACATACAAATGATCTTGGTTGTTGAGTTAAAACGAAAGTTTTAATAATAAGGAAAATTTACTTAAAAAGTAGAAAATTTAATTACTAGATGTAAAGGTATCAGTAAAAGTAACACTTTGCTTTTATTTGCAGAGTAACACATATAAAAATCAAGAACACAAATAATACATATTGTTAAATATACTGCAAATGATGATTCTGAATTGAAAAATGAGATTGTTACCAAATTATACCTTTGTTATTGCTTTATCAGAAAACTTGATGGCTAGTCAACTAGGATAATTAAATGGTACCTATAAATATGTTACTAGTTTAAGTATCTTCTAGTTAAACTTATTTTTTATGTAAGAATATCATTCAAAGAGTATGATATGCTAAAGAAGATGCACTAGAAAAAGATTAAATCTAAGCACTTTTAAATGATTAACAATTATATGGTCTTATACTTCTTTCATTCCTATAGAATTCACCATCATATACTGAAGAAAAAAGTAATTACAGAGACACATACGTAATTGTGTTTTTACTAATAACTTAGAAGCTATTATATTTCAGTCACTGACACAGGCCCCACGATGTGGAAAAAGGGGACTAGCAAGCAGAGCTTGGATCAATGTTTAACACCTGGCATCTCATAGGTTCTAAAATCTGGTTTGATTCTTCACATAAGAAAAACCAGTCAAACATACACTTCTTGTGGTTTCTCTATGGGTAGAACTGTTTCCAGTTATTGCCTGGTATTTCAAAGTACGGAGTCCTATTTAGCTGAAGCTGAGCAGATGACCCAGTTTCACTTGTGCGCTCCCCCGCAGAGCCTGAGTCATGTTGCTGCAGCCTCCGCTGCATGCAGCCAGCAGTGATTAAAACTCCAGACGTGACCGCATGCTGCGTGTGACAGCATGCCACATGTGACAACTAAGTTTTCAGAAATGTCACCTCATCAGTTCCCTGAGACTTAAGAGTCAACTCAAATCCACTTTCTTAAGATACAGCTAGCCCTTCTAGAATTATTACAGAAGCACACCTAAAGTGTTAGACTTCTGCTACCTCAATTTGAGAAATCTGTAATAACAGAGAATCAGAGAAATGGGAGAAGAGATTAGTATTCTTCTACGAAGTGAAAAACATTTGCTAAGGCAAATCAGAAAACCAAATCTGTACTTCAGTTTGTTACACTGTTCATACATTCAGAATCATCCCAGTAGACTGTTCATGTCAACTCAGAAATCAGAAGCCCTGCACACACTCACAATCACACCCAGTCTCACGTCGCCATTTCTTCAACTCCTTTCTCTTTTATACAGACAGACGAAGGAGATAAAAGGCTTCTTTCAGTTCCCCCAACATTGTGCTTTAATAACTTCCTATCCCCTCAACTACCACAAATTTATGTAACTGTTCCTATAGAAGTTTTAGAATTCTGACAGAATTACTTCTGTTTTTTCCTCTTACTGAAAAGACAATAACTATAAAGTTAAGGGCAAAGGCTTTGCATCTGCCATCAAAAAATATTAAGATTTCCTTCTCACATAGGGAGTTGAACATATTTAGGAACACTGAAGATGTGGATAAAACTCAGGTTTACGATAATTGAAGATCCACAGTATAACTACCACATCACTAGAATCAGACTAATGGAAGTAGATGGATTAAATCAGTTAAAAACACGTATTGTAAGCTGGACATGGTTGTGCATGCCCATAATCCCAGCACCCAGGAGGCTAAGGCAGGGAGATCACCATGACTTTAAAGCCAGTGGGGCTACATAATGAGCTCAAAGCAAACTCAAACTACAGAGCAAGACCGTGTCTCAAAAAAACCATAAAAGAAGCACATATTACTGTCTTTGCAGTAGTTTATAATATAGATAATAAAAACCTTATGATGAATACCATTATTGACAGTCTCCAGTTAATCCAGTAAAATCCAAGCTAGAACACTCAGTGTTTTTCATATAGAATGGAAGACTCGGCAAAATAGACTGAAAATCACCTATTCAAAAGGATAGCAAGTAGTTCTTCAATCTTCTTTTTAGCTTCGACTTCTGATGAACACTTTTTGAATGAGTCTTCTTCACTAAAGGACTACCAAAGAATTATAAACAAGAATTAATGTAAACACCAATAAACATCCAATTAGCCGTGCACATGTCAGATAAATACTTAACACATTCTTTATTAACTTATCTCTCAGTCTTAGTTTGAACCATTTAGTTCACTTTTATATTAACTCTTTTTATCTTCAAGTTATTGAAGTTATTTGTCTTAATCCCAAACTTTATTATATGACTATAGCCAGGATTTTAATCCCCTAAAATACAAATATGATTTATCCTTGGGGAAGTATTTAGCCTTTGTGAAGTACACTATCCTCATCTTTAAAAAAGAAAAAATAATAGTACTGCCTATTTCAAGTTTGTTTTAAAGAAGGCTAAATAAAGCACTTAGTGCCTGTAACACAGGAAAAAAAACAGTATTAACTGAGTGATTACACCTTTTCCAGTCTGTTAAATCACTGAACTATTCAGAATACAACATTTTTAAAACATTAAAATATTTTGCCACATATTTGCATTATAAGCTAGTAAAATTAAGCTGTATTCAAAGTGGCTAACATTAGATTTACAAATAATATCAAAGTGTCAAGGGGCTGGGGATTTAGCTCAGCGGCAAAAGCGCCTGCCTGGCAAGCGCAAGGTCGTGAGTTCGGTTCCCGGTACCGGAGAAAAACCAAAAAAAAAAAAAAAAAAAAAAAAAAAAAAAAAATATCAAAGTGTCAATTTAAGAATATTTATTAATCTAGTATAATAAATTACCCTTCTCATAGGAAAGGGATCATTTACTAACTGAAAATCAAATTAGAATAGTAAAAACATGATCGTAATAAACTAGAAAGCCAACTAGGCTAATACAAACACTAGAAATCTTGATTTCAAATAATGTGACAACCAGTACTTAATTAAGATAAATAGCATGGTCTTATACCTGAGGTGGTCCTGAGGGTATCACAGAAGAATTATCCTCTCCAAAACTGAGTTTCTGTATATGCTGAGCAACTGAAATTCCTAATTGCTTTTCTAGTATTTTGGATGAAAAAGTTTGGAGATCATGTACACTATGGATTCCCAGTGCTTCGAGACATTTGGCAGTTTTATAGCCAATACCTAAACAAAACAAAAGTATAAAATGTTAAGTATCTTTACTCCTTAAAGTAAAGCTAATTAAAATGTTAAAAAAATATGAACTATATCTTTTGTGTGTGTGTGTTCTGAAGTTGGAGTTTTTCTTTTTTCTTTTAAACAGAAACCCACAAAATTTCAAAACAAGGTAAGAGGAGGGTAACAATGGTTAATAGCTTGCATATTGTTATCTTTAAATTACTCAGAGTACAAGATATCGGCATTTAACTGTCCAAACAATATTAGCACAAACCTTTCTTTTCAATGAACTAAGAGAAATTAGTGGTATAACTATCTTTTATATTTATGTACTTTTTTGCCTTTTCCTTCTTTCCTCCATTTCCACATCCAAGTTGCTCTTTTGAAGTTTCTTCCCATTTTACAATGTCCACTGTACATTCTAGATATTGTTTACTCTTTCAGCTTCTTATACTAGGGAGACAATACCATGTTTACTCATCTGGCTTATTTAACTTATGAGTATCGTCCTGACTTGCATCTATTTACCTATAAAGTCTCCAGTTTATCCTTCTTTATGGCTGAATAATACTCTATTATATAAAAAGACACCTTCTTTATCCATTCCTCAGTTGATGGGCATTTGGGTTGTTTCCAAGATTTAACTATTAGAAATTGTGCTGCTATAAACATAGGTGCACATATATTGCTGTGATATGATGTTTTTAATTCTTCTGGAAAGATACCCAGAAGGGAATAGATGGGTCAAATGGGACCTCTAATCCTAGTTTTTTGAGGAATCTCCATACTGAATTCCACAGTTGAACCATATCTTAAATTCCTAAGTTCTGTAATATTTTGCTAAAATCATCTGGGCATGGTGGCACATGCCTGTAATCCAAACACTCAAGAAGCTGAAGCAGGAGGACTGTTCCAAGTTCAAGACCAAGCTGGGCTACACAGTGAGCTGAAGGCCAGCCTGGACTACAGAGCAGAACTCTGTCTCAAAAAAAGAACAAAAACAAAAAAACTTTTTTGCTAAATCAAACTCCATTGCAAATTAGGTTATTCTTCTATTCAGGTCCCCTGAGTTTTAGGTGAAGCCTGTGCATGTAGCACAGTAAAATAAATTGACAGACAGCCAATAAATTCTGTCTTGATAAAATGAAATTTTTATCACCTGTTATACACTACTGTGGAAGAACTCAAGAATCATGATTATTAATGTAAACAAAAAGACTATCACTATAGGAATTCATGTGTGTTTATCAGCTAAGCTGTTTTCTATAAACACCACCACACAAATCCTATCTTGCACAAATCTTACTTACAAAATTTTTACTATGAATTTCTTGCACTAAAAGTTGTTTTATTCATAGGAGAAACAGACCACTTAATGCCTTTGTACTTCTTTCATTTAAAAAAAAAATAGTACTTCTCTAACTATCAGATCTTCTTGCACAGTAAATGTAGTAAACAGAGGAGACAGGTGAGGGGGTGGGGTAATGATCAAAGTGGACTGATCCTTGTTTTATAGTAGAAATATAGGAACAGTAGCAATAGCAATGAGAGAAAAAGCCAAAAGCCTATAAAAACACAGATGCAGTCCCTCAAAATACAAAGCAAGTAAGAATGTTATTAGTATGACACTGTTCTTCAGAATGCAGGCCCCAAATTACACATTATAATTATACAGTAACACCTCGGGTCATGAACACTTCTGTTTGCAAACAATTCAGTTCACAAACAAAAGCACCTAGCAAAATTTTGTTCCATTTGCAAACTCTGCATCAGGTGATAAAACACGACCATAGGCATCTTATCCAAACAAACATAAATGCAGCCATCTTCCCCAAAATCATAAAACAAATTAAGTCTGTAAACCAAAGTACCACTGTACTATATTGAGGATGGTATGATAGTATATCATACATTTTAGAATCACACAAACATGGGTTAAGATGAGAAGTTACAACATCTAGAAGATTACATTTCAATTGTCTTACAGATTTATTAATCTCATTCCCCAGGATTGCTACAATAAAATTTACCATGTTCACTACAGATGGTTTATAAAAATGTAAGTATTTAGTCTCTAAAGATACAAGTTTGCCCTGTGTGAACCCCTAAAGGAAATCTGTTCCCTCATCTTTAAAATGAGAAACTTGACCTAGAAATTTGAAAGGTCCACTGGAGCCCAAATATTTTATATATAATCCCCAAAGAACATTAGAAAAAGCTGAACTTTCCTCTACAGATGTAATACACAGAGTATGAACACTAGACTGGTAATAAAAGATCATACATTTCCAGGTTATAACTTTTATGACCATAAGTAGAAAAGTACTTTCATTTGGTTCCTTATACAGATTTGTTCCAGGGAACATCATGGGTTTGTTTCATTTTCCTTTAAGTTTTCTCCAAGAGCAAGAACAAGTTTCTAGGAATTATGTTGTATCTATAAACTTTAAGATTATAAAGAAATACAATAAAGCCAATATAAGCATTTAAAATCTATTTGTCTTACCAGGTATTTCCTTTACATGGTTCAAGCCAAGAATGAGATCTTGACAACTTTCAGGTAGTAAGACTGTTTGTTGATTTGGTTTAAAGACACCAGAAACTAATTTTGCCAATAGTTTATTAGAAGCGATTCCAGCACAGCCAGTGAGTCCCAACTGATTATACATGGCTTCCCGCATCTCTGCTGCAATCTGGGATCCAATAAGTAGTCTGATGTGTACAGTATCATTCAAGTTTACAGCTACAAAAAGTGTCGTTAAAAGTTACACAAAATTATTGTAGTTTTCTTTTCTACAAGAATTTTTATAAGGTACAGGGCTCAGTCTATACCCAAATCCTCCTACCCCTACTACCACTACCCTGCTACCCATTTGACTTATTTCTTTAGTTTTTTACAGGAATACTGTGAACAAATACCACATGTGAATTCCAATGCCCTGTGATAACAAATATATACTAGGAATACTTAGATTATGAAAACTGATCTGTTAAAAAATTCCTACTGGCATTAATACCTAAAATTTACACACTAACTTTATGTGCTCCTAAAAAATTTCTGACCTGTACAAAACTTTAAGAGAACTTTCCTGAAAAGTGTAGGGAAACTGCATAAAAGCAAATTTTCTAAGGTGTGAAATATTAAGTTATATATCCTTATTCTCGGCACTCATGCTAGAAGGATTCAGGGAAGAAGTGACATAATTTCTGCAATGCACTTTAAAGGGCTCATCAATCAACCAATCTTTCCACAAAAAGAACAAGCTAATCATGGAAAAATGGTATTTGGTATACCTACGAGAAAACATATAATGAGTATTCACTGAACGTTTCTATCAACTTTTCTATAGGTTTGAAACAGAACTTTTTAATCAAGTAAAAAAAATCAGTAAATAATTAGACATTTCCTCTTTGGGATATGAAATCTAGCTCTGCACAGTGGTGTGTTCCAATCAATATAATCTGAGCTTGCTTTAAAAATTACACAGAAGTATGTTATGAATCTTCTTGCAACTTAGCGCTCTGACAAAAAGCACAGGTATAAAGGACACATGAAAAGCTTTGTATCTCCTACAAACTTGAGCTCTGCCCCTTTTCTTCTGTGGAAAACTGTACTGGAGACTGATGACCAGCCTCGAAGTAGATGACCAGCCCTCAAAGTATAAGAGGAGCACATGCTGAGACCTAGCACCAGAGGTCAGGCAATTCTTACACAAAAGAAGAGCAGCCTGTCTTCCATATGGTATGATATGGAGAGTCACCAACAGTCAAAAGATGTCTGCAAGTCCCATGAAGATTTTCACTGGCACTTATCGTCAGTGCAAACATCCCTCGAAACATTATCAGTCATTCATTCTTAATAATGGAATGAAGATGAACCACGCTGGTTTCTTACTAATAATAACGATTATCTGAATGATTAAATAGGAGCTTGGAGAATATACTAGGACATGGCAGACATGATTCCATGGCCTGGACAAGATTCCACAGCTGTTAACTGAGTCAGTGAATAAGGGGCTGAGGGTATGGCTTAGTGGTACAGCACTGAGCTACAAAGTCAAGAGAACAGCATGAGGGGATGACCGAAGGAGGGCACAGTTCTTACAGACACTGTCAGACAGAAGAAAACTGCACTGAGTTCTGAGCTACATGTCATTAAATTTTTTTTTTTTTTGCAAATATTATGGAATAGCAATGCCTAATTTTAGTTATCTTAGACAGATTACTGACTAAATATGGGTATATTTCCAAAAAACAAGTCCTATGCTCTCAGAATGATACAGTGAACTCACTGAACATAATAAGTGTACTTTTAGCCATTAAGCAGAATGAATAAAAACTCACTCACACTTATTACTATAAACATGGCCTGACACCGTCACTGCAGGGAGTTCATCGCTTTGTAGCTGCTGGAGTCGTTTCTCAACCATTTCTGTTAGATCCACAAAATTTTCATCAAATCCGAGTCTTTCAACAAGTGGAGTAAACTCTCCCAACAGTTCTAGATTGAAATAATATAACAATACTGATGTAACTGAAGTTATAACTAGAATAGATCTAACTAATGCTTAAGACACACTACATCTATCCTTAAAGGTTTATATATACAGTTACACAGTATCTTTAATGAGCCTTAATATATGAATAATTTATGTTAATAACACCCTCAGGTAATCAAGAATTTTTTTCCTACAGAACATTTTGAGTACAGGCAATATTTTCCAATGAAATAAGTCCAAAAATGACATTCCCAGGGCAATTACTAATGGTAATATATTTAGCTCAATCTTCTATACTTACAATTTCCGTACCTCTAGTACATTAATCAATGCTTAGAGTTAATTATAATCTTGAAGCAGTGTGTCAAATAAATTACAGTCTGCTTAGGAAAGTAAAAAGTAATAATATATTTTAGCTATATTTTCCACAAGAGTTTAAAATAGGCCAAACAAAATAACTGTTAAATGTTCTACGTATTGAGTCAAACAAGTCACTTAAATTTCAAAAAATACTGTAACACAGTATTTTGATTAGCCATTCCCCAGAATATTTCTTAAGAGCAGAATGGCAGAGATGAGTCACAACTTATATTCAAATACCCAGCATCTAGCATAATAACTAATCTTTAAGTCAAATGTTTAATAAATTGAACTTCATGAATATTAAGAATAAATTTAAAAGGACTACCAATTCTCACCTATTAAAATTAGTAGCAACTTTGAAACCACTTAGAAGAATTTTTCACCTCTCTCTAAATCACCTTTTATTGACATCAGCTAAATGACAGCAATACAGTAGTTCCTTAGTATCCACAGGATTTCAGGACCCCCACTGATCCCAAAACCAGCAGATGCTCAAGTCTTTTATATAAATTGATATGATATTTGCATATATCCTAAGCACATTTTCCCATATATTTTAAATCACCTCTACTTACAATATCTCAAATAGTGCAAATGGTTAGTGTATGTCCAGGGAATACTGTATTATCATACTGTATTATCCAGGGAATAACTCTATTAAGTCTAGTACAGAAAAAAATTTTTTATAGTTTCAATTCAGTTGGTTGAACCCACAGGTACAGAACCCATGGACTCAGTGAGCTAACTATACCTCTCTTAGCATATAAAAATGCACAGGGGCTTAAGGCACTATAATCTGAAGGCTCAGAAATAAAAGGACTAAGTCAGTCCACACAGATCTTTCTTCACAAAAATACTAAAAATACCTATCTGTATTATTGATGCCAACAATGATAACAGAAAAACAATAAAGACAACAATGTGACCTGGTAAATATCAAAAGTAACTTCTGATCTACCTAGAGATCCATTATTTCCCTTGAGGACAGACTGACCATGTATTTGATTATAAAGAATTCCAACCATGTTCAAAAGTACTTACCTAATATTCAAAAGTAACATCTAGAAAAATTTATCAAAAGAATACTACACACTACAAAGAATGGCTTTTGCCCCAGATGGCTCACTTGAGATGTTAGTAAGAACTGCCTCCTCAGTATTCCATAGCCATGACGAGGCAGCGGCCAAGGAGAGAAAACAAAGAGATCGAGAAAAAAGCAGCTGCTTTTGCTGCAGCACTAAGAGAAACAGAGCCCAAGTCTGATTCCCGGGGCCCCAAGAAGAACCTGACGACTGCATTTATCTGCTACCACTGTTAAAAGCCAGGCCACCTCAAGAGGAACTGCCCTAAGAGGCCCCCTGGGCCATGCCCTGAATGCAAAGGTGACCACTGGTGATCGGTCTGCCCTCTGAAGCGGAGGCTCCAGAACTCAGACCCATCCTACCAGTTAGTCCAACAGGAATGAGGGGGCCTGGGGCATACTCTGCCTTCTCCCTCTGGCCAGACCGTCATCTCCATCGAGGAGTCCTGGGTAGTCATGACTATGGAGGAACAAGAAAACAGCCTGTTGCTGGACACAGATGCAAGTCTCTCGGTTCTTCTTTTCAATCCTGGCCTTCCTTCCAGCCGTCACACCTCAGTGACAGGAGTCACTGGTGAGGAGGTAATATGCTATTTTTGACAACCCTTAGGCTGTAACTACTCGTTAGATCCTTCTTGCGTATCTCTGTCTTCCTGAGAAACCACTTTGAAGATACCATGTATTACAGCAGCCATTGATATTTTCCTACTGACCTATCCATAACTCTGTAATGCCTGTATTGTTCCTATTTCGTAAATCGATGTATGTTTATTACTATGTGTTTCCTACAACCACCACTGAGAATAGTTAATGATTATTCAATACGTCATAGCTCTATTTTCTTTAGAAGCCACTTTGAAGTTACCAAAGTAGAGTACAACAACTATTGATAATCTCCTACCTCTTTTGTCTGTAACTCACTATTATTTGTTTATTTGTTTTCCTGACAAACTATCTTGTAGATAACAATATGCAAAACAATAACCATTGGGAGGCTGGGGATATAGCTCAGTGGCATAAGTGCCTGCCTGGCAAGCGCAAGGTCATAAGCTCGATCCCCCGTACTGCAAAAAAAAAAAAAAAAAAAACCATTGATAATTTCCTACCACTTTGTCTGTAATTTGGTAAGCCCTCCCTATTATTCTGTTATCCTTTTTTTACTCTTTAAAATAAAAAGAATACTACACAAAAAAGACAAGTTTTTTAAAATTTTAGGACATAAATCATTTCCTTTCTCTTAAAATTATACAGGACTCAGTGACTCTCTTCAAAGAACTACTGCATTCACTGACTTTGTGTAAGGCTATTAAAATACTGATAGATACACTAAATATTGAGAGCTAAGCTTGCTTTCATAAACTTTTCAATATCAGGTAGGGAACATCTGACTAAAAACTTATTCCATGATATAATACAAGAACAACCCCTTTAATTGACATCATTACTGACACACTGGCATTCTTGAAAGGCCAGGTTTAAGAGGAAAAGTTAAAAATAAAATCATGTACAAAGCTGGTGAATCATCAAATATTAATTACACTGCTCTATTGCTAGGTCTACCGCTCTATTACTAGCATGGATAAAATACTTGACTATTCCATTCTTGAATCTAAAGACTCTTTTGCCAATTACAGACTATGCTAAAATAATTGTGAACTGGTATCTTTAGGCACCACTGGTTTATTTCTATTTAATGAATTTTCAGCAGTGGTATCAGTTGGTATCAGTTGGTTCAGTACCTTCAGAGCACCTGACATCGAACAGGGAGCTTCACACATGCTAGGCAAGAACTCTACCATGAAGCTCCCCCGTTAGCCTTTATCTTTCACTTCAATGTGGTTTTTGATTATTTTTTTAAAAGGCTGTTGCACTTTATACTTCATTTTCTCACATGCTTTATCAGGTATCACAAATATAAAGTGATATCAATTAAAATTTCCTTAGTCATCAATGAATTTGAGCATTTTTTTTCATTGCAGTTGGTGCACACTGGGTTTGCACATCTTTGTCTACTGCTAATTTGTATTGTTTGCCCTTTGTCTATTTTTAAGTTATAAGAGTTGTCTGCATATTATATATATTTAACCCTTTGCATATGAAAATGCTACAATTAATAAAAGAAAAACAAGCAAAACTAATAATAAAAAGGGTAATACAGCCACACAGCTGTGTGGTGAAACATGCCTGTAATCCCAGCTACCTTGAAGGCTGAGACAGGAGAATCTCAAATTTGAAGCCAGCCTGGGTAATTTAGGGAGACCTTGTCTGAAAATTAGAATAAAAAAGGTCTGGGGATATAGGTCAGTGGGAAAGTATCTGCTTAGCATGCAAAAAAAAAACAAAACAAAACCCTCATAGGTTCAACCTTTCCTACACTGGGAAAAAAAAGAAATACAAAGCTGACCTTATGCATTTTTAAACTATATACACTGGCAATATACCAATGCGTTTTTGTATTTCCTCTAATTTAAACCCAAATTTCAGCATGTGCGAACTTTACATTTTTATACTTATACTTAAAAACATAAAAACAATCTACCCATTATCTTCGCTCGGAGTTCTTAAGAAATTAGTTTTTAATTATGCTAAACAAACATTACTGAAGGCTCTCCCAACTATCATTAGTGCTCTAGAACACTGTATTTCTTTATAATTTATTGAAATTTAAAATCTTAGGTCTGGGATATACTCAGTGGCACAAGCACCTGCCTGGCAAGCGCAAGGTCCTGAGTTTGATTTCCATTACAAAAAAAAAAAAAATTTTAATATTTATCTTCTTTTACCATATATTGTCCCATTTTCTAACTCTGAAGCTTTGATTTACAGATTTTGTTATTTGTTTTTGAGGTAGGATCCCACTATGTAGTTTACGCTGGCCTTGAACTTATTATGTCGCCCAGGATGGCCTTGAAATGGCGGTGATCCCTCTTGCCTCAGCCTCCTGAATGCTGGGTGTGCTACCCCGTGTGGCTTTTGTTATTTATATGAACACAAGTCACAGCAAAGTTCAAATTACTTCCAACCATACATTTTTTGTTGACATTATTCATAACACAGAAAGTCACTCCCTTATATAATTTTAAAGTAGTAGACAGGACCTCAAATAAAAAGCTTATAGGAAAAAGGAAATTGATTTGTGCCATTTACAATGTATGCAGTACACAGTATATAGGGGTCCTGTATAAAAATTAATGCTGAAGTATATATTGCCTGTAATTTGTACCTGTAACCTTATAGGACATCTCTCTATAACGAGTCAAGTCTTCTCCGTTCACTAGTATCAACTGTGGACACTTTTCTTTTGCATCTCTCACTTTCATACATTTCTTAATTCCAAGTTTTCTGGCTTCATAATTGCAAGTAATCACAAAAGATTTCTGCTGAACACCTATAAAAAAATAAACACTCCATGTGAATATCACACAGGATTGAAGAAACACTTTAAAATATGATTTACTGGGCTGGGGATTTAGCTCAGCAGCACAGCGCCTGCCTGGCGAGCGCAAGGTTGTGAGTTCAATTCCCGGTACTGGAAAAAACCAAAAAAATAAAATAAAATATGATTTACTGAATCCATTCAAGTGTGTAAGTTACATGCAATGTGTTTTGATAAGAAAAAGATGTCTTAAACACAGCTGTTCATCAAAGCCCTCTGAAGAAGAAACACCAGGTTTCTGAGCTATCTCCTAACTATGAATCATGAGGTAGTAAAAAATTCTTTTCCCATATCCATCCTACTTTTTCCTCCTCCTCTGGTACTGGAGATGGAACCCAGATGTATTCTGCTACCAAGTCACAATCCCAGCCCTTTTTGGGGGAGACAGTCTCACTAAATTGCCAGACTGAGACTCAACTTGCAATCTTTCTGCCTTACTTTCCCTCAGGACTGGGATTACAAGCAGACACCACTGCACTCAGCTTCCCATATCCTACTTTTAATCTTTGGTTGTTTTGTCTGCTTGGGGAAGAAGGCTGTCATTAAGTCAAACAACACTGAATAACAGTAGTAGGACCTACATATTAGAATGTAGGTCTATCATTCTTATACAATAGGCAAGCTGTGAATGTCTCTCAAACTTAACAAAAATTACCACAAATCAGTACTTTATATGGACTTGCAGTGATGACAGAAATCAAATCATTCGAGGATTTTTTTCCAAACACAAAATCCCATTAATTTATACTGTCACATAATCAGTTTAAAATAACTGACTTAAAAACTGGTTGCTGCTTAAGAAAATAATTTACAGTATCTTCTGAGTAAAATGCCAGTAAATAAAAGCAATGTTCTGCTACAAGCGCCAACTTACAGCAACTGTTAGGCATCTTCCCCCAATAAATATCCTAATTACTGAACTGTTCTTTATTATCATCTCCAGATGATTTGATAGTGAGGGTAGTATTATGAGCTATCAGAAATGATACCATGATTACCCACAGACTGCACAAAAATTCTAATTTATTGGCAACTTAGGATATCTAAAATTAATGTGTTTTTCTTAAAAATAAATTGACAAATTGATGCCCCTATAAAACAACGTTTATCCATCATATCACAGTGATGTATGTGCACCTATGTTCATAGCAGCACAATCTGTAATTGCTAAAATGTGGAAGCAACCCAAATGTCCATCCACTGAGGATTGGATAAGAAAATTGTGGTACTTTTATATAATGGAATATTACTCAGCTGTAAAGAAAGATAAACTCGAGGCTTTTATAGGCAAATGGTCACAACTAGAGACCATACTCATAAGCGAAATAAATCAAACATACATGTGCAAGCACCGCATTGTTTCTCTAGTGTAAAGCCTGAAAGAGTTAATTTAAACTAGGAGATATGACAGACATTGGGAATTGATACGAAAGCACTCTTAGGTAAAGGATAACTGGAATATGGGAAAAGAGAAGGGAAAGAAGGAGAAAGTTTGTATATATGTATATGCAGGATAGTTAACACAGGTGTTCTACTGTCCTGTATTTCCTTGCTGAAAGAAACTGTCAGTGAGGCATTGGTTGATTAGCTTTGTATGTCTATATGTGTTTTCATGAGAAACTACATTGAAGATATCAATATGTAATACAATAAGCATTGTTAATTCCCTACCACTCTGTTTGTAACTCTGTAATGTCTGTACTGATCCTTTGCTATTTTGTAAAATGTCGTCGATCTGTTAGTATTTTCCTCCTTTTATTTCTAAAATAAAAAAAATAAAAATAAAAAAAATAAAACGTTTATCTAAAAAATATGTAACATGCAAACACATAGGTTATGTCCATTCCTGTTACAATTTGTTTTTAAATTTTTGTGTTTTGTTGTTGTTTTGTGACAGGGACCTTCTATTTAGTCCAAGATGGCCTAGCCCAGGCTGGCCTCAAACCCATGGCAATTCTCCTGCCTCAGCTCCCAGGTGCTGGGATTCAGGCACACACTACCTTACCTGGCTTGTTTTTAATTTTTTTCTAGTTAATTTTATTGGTACATTTTAGGTACAGTAACAATCAATACAGGGAATTATCTTTAAATTTTTAATATAAAATAGATAAACACTAATTTCTTTATATCAGATTATACTCAAAAATATAATCACTGTCAAAGGTAATAGTTTAATCATCATTGAAATATATAAAAATCAGACGGGGGTAAAATCTTCCATAAAGTCTTTTAATACAGAATTACACTATAAGGATTCCCTACTGTATATCACAGCCTGAGTTGGTCATATATTTGTAGAGTATAAATGAAAGATTACCTAGTTTTCTCCAAGAAACTCTCAGCATTCAAATCCTTCACTTGATGATAATCACGTATTTGTACTTCTTAATCACATAATACAATTTAATAAACATTATCTATAGACCATCCTGTGCTCCATTACTACTATAATTAGAAATGTCTTTAGGAGCGGGAGATACGGCTCAACAGCACAGCACCTGCTCGGCAAGTGCAAGGTCCTGAGTTCAATTCCTGGTTTAAAAAAAATGTCCTTAAGAGAAAAAAATTAGGTCTTTTAATTCTAAATCCTTCATATCCTTAGAAAAGTTTAAAGATCCTAGCCTTACCTTCATATGCCAAAAACTAGTCACTCCTTTGTTCACAGATCATCAAAGAAGCTAGAAAAGCACAGGAAGGTAGAAAAAAACCCAAAATTGTTCTTTACGCTAATACTAAAATATCCTCTGGCATGCATGAAAGAAATCCTTACTTTCCAATGCAAGATATGCTATAAAAACGTTAAAATATGAAAAATACCAACATGTAAATCCTCAATATAAAATTTTTATATTTAAAAATTTGCTTGCATTATTCTGGAAATTTTGCTGTTAATATTTAGAGTTCTGTTTAAAATCCAACTATTTTGTTAGCTATTACCATTCACGAATTAAGTTTGAAAAGGAAAAGATGAAAATTTTGACTAAAATGCAACAAAAATAACAAGGTTGTTTTTGACATATTGTGTGTAAAATTTCAAACTCTGAAAAAGAAACCTGCCTAGAAAGCTAAGTTAATGTTTAACACAGAAACAGTTTACTTTGCTATTTATTAATTCAGTTAGCTATACAGTATGAGTCTTAAGAGTTATCATTTATTGAGGATCATGAAGTTTATAATTGATCATGAAACAAATATTGCCTATAAAGAATCTTTAAGTTTTCAAAAGCTTTAATATGCTTACTAAATCAAAATATTGTACAGTACAGTGAAAGTAGCTATATCTATCATTACACAACAAAAATATCAATGTCAAGAATTACCTAAAGGTTTGTTCTTTAATTCCGGATTTGAGATCATTTCTACTTGTGCGTAAAAGCAATCTAGATCCACATGCACTATGACTCTGGGTGAAATGTTTCGTGTTGGCACCGCTTGATCAGGAGCTGCTGCACATTATACAAGGAAATAAAAACACATAGTCAGGCAGCTTATCCTCTCTGAGTAGCTGACAGTTCTTTACAATATTTTGTCTGGAAAGGAATCCACAGCAGTTTCAACTTTTTTCCCTGGATTCTTATATCAAAGCATTAAAAAAAAATAAAACTACATATGCAGTAGGGCCTTCAAACCTGTTTACTTTGCATCGCTTACACTGTTTTTCTTGGAATAGTAATTTGAGGGTGGAACAATCTTGATCAGTAATGGGTGTAAACGAATGCTACCACCGAGAAGTTGGTACTGTTAGAGAAATCAGAGGAGGTAAGAAAGTTGAAACAATGTCGACTCCCAACCAACTTGAAAATTATCCTCAGTGGCCTGTACCCATATTGAAAAAACAAAAAAATCTGAAATACGAAATACCAAAAATCACCCTGTGGGTGAGTGAAACATACTTAGCTCCCTCATGAAAGCAGACTGTTTTAGCGCTAAAGCCCTATGGCCTAGAACAGAACTTGGAATATAACAGACTATCAATGAACATTAAATTGAAAGACTGAATAAGCACAGTATTCTGAGATTTTAAAAATCTAGGGACTGGGGCATAGTTCAGTTGATAGAGCACAAGCTTAACTTGCTGAAGGTTCTGAGTTCAAGTCCCAGCACCAATAAATACATAATTAAAAAAAAAAAAAACTACCTTATGCCATGAGTGGAGAGGGTGTCAAGAGGTGAACCCTGCTCTTAACTATGGTTAAAAACAAGCGAGGCTAAATGCAATGTGATATTAGTATGGCTCCAGGAAGAAAAAAGAAACATCAGTAGAAAATCTAGCAACATCTGAATACAGCGTTGTTGGGTTACTCGCACACCAACGTTAATTTCTTAATTCTGACAGACGTGCCAAACGATGCACGATATGAACACTAAGAAGCGGGTCACCATGGGGAGACCACAGCAGACGCGCGACGTTCCGAGCCATGCCCTCCCGCCTGGCGGGGCCAGCTCTCAGTCTCGGTCTAGAAAGAGGAGCCACAGGGTCCTCAGCTTCTCCGACCCTAACCGGCCAGAAACCGGGGCGGGGGGCTCTCCCCGGGGCTGCTTCTGGGATTCCCGCCCTCTCCCACGGGTGGTGGGGTGCAGATGCCCCTCCACACGCACTGCAGAGCTGACGCGCCCTCCCTAGCCTTACAGGGTGAGTCCTCCCCGCAAGGTACTAGCCGCGAACACCTAGGAGAGAGCCGGGAAAACGAAAGGAACCGAGAGGGGGTGGGGAGGGACTGTCGCGTCCCAACGGCCGCCGCCTCGGGCGCCCGCCAGCCTCACCGCGCCCCGCCCCAACCTCCGCAGTCACACCAGGGAGAAGGCCGGGTTCTCCAGGCCCGGGCGCACCCTGCGAGCCGCCAGCCGCCCCCGCGTCCGCCGGCTCCATGACGGGATCCTCATCCTAGTCCTCTTCCTGGTCGCGGCCACCTTCCTCCTCCGGCCCCGCCCCCGGTCTCTCCATGCTGCCGCGGCCAACCGCAGTTCGGCTTCCCGCCGCTTCCTCTCGGTCTCCAAGGAAACCGCGGCCCCACCGCCCCCCAAACGCGGGGGGTCCTCACGCATGCGCAGTAGTGGCTGACCGGCCGGGCCCGAAGTGACGCGACCGCCGAGAGTCGCGCAGCCGCACGTGCTGGAGCTCGCTGCGGCGCCGTCGAGGCCGGAAGTGAGGGAGTGAGACGCCGGGCAGCTCCCTTTTTGTCTCCAGGGCTGTAGTGTTAGGCCTGTGACTCAAATTTTAATTTTTATATCTTTGCTGTGTTCATCTGATCAACTGTTAACGAAATTTCTAAGCCCTTGTCCTAGCCATTTGTGGGGCGGGGGGAGGGCGGAAATTGGGTAAAAGGCAAGGCAGCTGTCTCCACTAGCGTGATCAGCAGGCGTGTTAAGGTTTGGTGTGCTGCGTTTTCTTTCTTAGAGGCAGTGATACACGGAACCTGAATATTTAACATCTAAACTGACTAGGATTTTGGTTCTGAGTTTGGAGGGGTCAGATAAAATTCCTAATCGAGACCCAGCATCTTGCTGTGTGTCTTCGGGTCGGTTATATAATTCCTTCGGGTCGGTTATAAAATAGGAGATTCAGTTGCTCCACTATTTTTTTAAAATTCTCTTGAAAAAAGCGAAATGGCAACTAGTTCTTTTGAGGCTGAGCAACCTCTCAGATGCTCACAGCGGCTGAGCTCTGTTGCTTGGAACTTGTGGTAAGACTTGCTGAGGTCTCAGCCTTTCTTCAAGACCGAGCTGCCCCGGGGCGTTCCAAGCCCGCCTGTCCACTGGACTGGTGAGAGAGCTGTCAGTGTTTTGCTCTGCGCTTGCAACACGCATCCAGCTCCGCGTTTGAGACTGCTGCCTAGCTGCAGCCTTACCTCTCCGGAGTCTCTGGGGCCTAAGATCAGTTGCTCCTATGTTCAAGGGGCTGCTTCCCAGGCAGGTCTTTGACCTTAACCTTTGACCTTAACTATTGCTGCGTTTCTTATTTCAACTATCATGACTTGGACATGTGCAAAGCTGTTGCCATGCTGTGGAAGCTCTGACCTTTTTGACTTAATACCGTAAGGGCTGATTCTTCCCCTTTTTGCCTCTATTCTGTCCTGCCATTCAGCTCACACTAAGGAAGAAATAACAGATAAGTCCATTGGTGAACAAACTGCCTTATCGAATAGCTATTTTCAGCATTTGATTTGGAGGAAAAAGTTTGAGAGGAATTGTATCAAAGAAATGGTGAGACCAAGTTTTCTATTTGGTTGAGTTAATAGGTCTGTCTCCTAGCTCCGAAGACTGAGAGTATATCTAAACGGTACACATGAACTTTGCTTATCAGTCTCTTGGAGAATTCAGCTTTAACTACTGCTAATACTTGATCATACATCTGTATTTTTCTGAGGAATAATGGACAAAAGGAAGTGCTATTAATTAGTAAAGATTTTGCAGAAAATCATTGTTTAATTTGGGGAATTTCCCTATCCAGTTGGTACAAGCAAATGGTCGTTATTATATATCCTAAAGAAACTTTAAAATAGGAGATGCTGATATCTCACTTTATAGGTTTCTAAATCCTAGGAAGGAAATCTTGGAGAGCTTTTGAATTTTGACAACTTCTGTTTAGGGAGGAGATCTCCCTTGTAGATGTACCCAAATATTACAGTCCAAACATGCACAAGTCTCAAATGTGTTTTATTTGTCCCAAAATAATCTGTCTACAAATATAAAATGATAAGAAATTATTTTCCCACTGTGGGAACTGCTAAGGAAAAGATACATTTTATGAAAAGAAACTTTTTCAAGTTTTTTGTATAACAAAAAATATATTTTACTTTTTAAAAAATAGTCAAAATTAAATGAGTGGATAAAAGTTAACATACACTTTCACACTCCAGTGTGTATAAAGCATTTGGCTCATTGGAGCCACTCAGCGTGAGTTCTCTCTCCCTTCTGTTAGGACACCACTTGTGCATGTGTGTGTTGATGTTTGTGTGTATGTTTCTTTGAAGACAGGAAATCTGCCTTGACTTTGATTGAGTAAAACATCATTATGTGGAAAGATGCGATGTTGCAGGTTAAGAGCTAAAATTATCTTGAGCTCTCTTAAGCCCTTTAGAACAAAAGCCATTTACTTTTAACCCTTATTCTGTCTGACCTCACATTCTAATGATTATTAGGTAAACCTCTCCAAAAGTAGCCAGACTACCTAAACACCTCCAAAAGTAGCCAGTGCTCCCACCAGTCTGTTTTGTGGTACTGGAAATTGAGCCCAGGAAACTGAACCCAGGGCCTCATGTATGCTGGGTCAGCAATCTACCACTAAGCTATATACCTAACCATTTTATTTTATTTTATTTATTTATTTTTACTTTTTATTTTCTGAAGACAAAATCTTGCTAAATTTCCGAGTCGACCGTTCGACTTGGAAGTCTCCAGCCTTAGCTTCCAGAGAAGCTGGGAGTACAAGTATAAACCACCACACCCAGTTGCATTTGTTGAGTGTATTGATTTACGACTTTCTTTGTTCTTTGGCTATAAAAGTTCAAGTAACCATTTTCACTTTGCAACATGTAGTCCATGGTATCTTGAATCCATGTTCCTGGAACATGGTCACTCGGATTTGGTTCAATTTTATTTCTTTTAAAGCAGAGTTCTTATTTATGTCAACAATTTATGTATGTGTATGTGTGTTTGTTAACATATATACATAACATTCAAACATTTTTATGATTCTGTTTTTTATCAAACAGGATTTGAGAACCTTGAGAAACCGTTTAAAGGACATGCTGATGCATCGATACAGGAAGAATGATATGCATGGGGCTGGGGATTTAGCTCAGCGGCAAAAGCGCCTGCCTGGCATACGCAAGGTCGTGAGTTCGGTTCCCGGTACCGGAGAAAACCAAAAAAAAAAAAAAAAAAAAAAAAGAATGATATGCAGAGCTGGGGCTCGGTGGTTTGAAGACCACATCTTCCACTTTGCTTATTTCTTATACTTTGCTTATTTCTTATACTTTGCAGTAGCTCCCAAAAAGTCTGCACAGGATCTAATTCACCTTGATGCTCACCTTTTTTTGTGAATGCTGTTTGATAAATGTGAGTAGAGAGCTTTAGATTTGGGTGCCTGTTTGGCCACTGAGTGCATCTGGAGCTATAAATCAAGGATCCCATTACTTATAACTGATTTCTTACTTTCTTCCTTTCTTTCTCTCTCTCTCTTCCCCTCACTCTCTTTCTTTTCCCTCTTTCTTTCCTTCCTCCCCCTCCTTTCTTTTTCTCCTTTCCTCCTCCTGTCCTTTATATCTTCATTCTTTCCTTCCTTTCTTTTCTTTCTTCTCCCAGATTGAGAATGATGCAAACCACTGACAGTAAAACCAGTCCCTTTAGAAGAGTCATAGGCTTACTAGAATTCAACAAACCCTGCCAAGTAAAACCAGTCCCTTTAGAAGAGTCATAGGCTTACTAGAATTCAACATGTTGCTTTAGTAAAAGTGAGCCAACAGTAAAAATACCACACGCATAATCACACCCTCTTTTGTGGATTGCATTTATTTCCTTGTCAGTGTCAGATTTAAAGAATGGCTTATAATTCATTGGAAGGGGAGAAAATTGGACCCATGGGAACCACAGCAGAGTAAGTGGGGTTGGTTTTATGGGTGTGTAGCCTAGGCCCCACACTTAGAACCCCCATACTCTATTTAATATTCTGCTGTTGTCTTGGTTTTGAATGAGAGATCCCATATTTTTAATCTGCACTGACTCCCACAAATTATTTAGCCAGTACTGGGGCCATGGAAGGAAAGTGACATAAAAAATGACACACAAAACACTTGTATGAGCTGGGCATGGTGGCATACACCTGTAATCCCAGCACTTAGGAGGATGAGGCAGGAGGATTGCCAAGAGTTCAAGCACAGCCTAGGCTACACAGTGAGACCTTGTCTCAAAAAACTTAAAAAAAAAAAAAAAACAAAAACCAGCCTGTATGTTGGGCACAGGGCTAAGAGCTTGAAATAGGTCATTCATTCAATATAGATACAGAGAATAAGTATCATTATTCTCGTTTTACCAAAGATGAAACCAGCTTGGAAAAACTAACTTGCTTACTTGAGATTATGAATCTAGTAATGGCAGATCCACTTTTTAGAGTTTTTGTCAAGGAAAAATTCATTGATAAAATTTCTCCCCAACTCCCTCTGTCCATTTTCCTCTGTGCTTCAAATACTGCATGACTTAGAAGAGAATAAATACCCCTTAAATATATTAGGGATCATAACAATAAAATTTATATGAACTAGAGTGCATTGGTTTATTATGAAACATTTTAGAAACAGGTTTCTTTATAATTCTATAAATCCCTGCCTCTAGTTTTTTTTTTTTTTTTTTTTTTTGGTTTTTCTCCGGTACCGGGAACCGAACTCACGACCTTCCGCTTGCCAGGCAGGCGCTTTTGCCGCTGAGCTAAATCCCCAGCCCCTGCCTCTAGTTTTAATTAATAGGCACCAATCCAGGATAATTTCAGAATAGGTATCTTGAGCTTGGATCATAATTATATATTTAAGTATCAAATGAGAAAAACAATTGCAAAGCAGAATAAATTAAATAAAATCATGGGTGATATAATATTTATAGGGAGCCATTGATACTGATGGGGACAGCCAGGTGTGGTTGTGCTCATTTGTTATCCTCTGGGAGGGGAGGAGGCTGGAGGATCTTTGAGCCCCAAAGTTCAAGGCCAGAAAAAAGAAGGATAGGAGGGAGGGAGGGAAGGAGGAAGGGAAGAAAGAAAGAAAGAGGGAAGGAAGAAGGAAGGAAAGGAAAGAAAGTGTGTGCAGACATTTTAGGGTATCAGAAGTCAAGGCATTAGGAACTTAAGAACTTGTCTGTTTGAGACAGAGTTTCACTGTGTAGTCCAGGCTGGCCTCGAATTCTCACTCCTCGCATTATAGGGATGTGCCACCAAGCCAGACTTACGAATTTAAGGACATTAAAGATTATAATCCAATTATGACAACTCATTTCAGTGAAGGATGAGAACAAGCATCAATGACTTTCTCTCTTCCTCGGCAAATTAGCCACGTATGGTAGAGAACCCCAGACAATAATCACAGTGCTTTGACA